TCACTCCCCCAGCCTGGGTGACCCAGCTGGCCTCCCCCAAAACCTCACACCCCATCCAACCTCAGATCCCAGCCAGGCAGCAGCATCCCCCCCAAACAAGCCCCTTTGAGTCTGAGGTTTCCAGTGTGAGCACCTGAGCTCCCCCTGCACCATCTGAACAAGCATTGGGTTTGAGAGACTGGGCAGGGCAGCTGGAATGGCGCTCATAGGTTGCATTGGGGAACGTGGAGGCTGTTTCTAGGAACTTACTCCCCCCCCCCCCCCCGTGCCTCCTTGTTTTCTGGGTGGTAAGGCTGGCCTTTTCATTTTCCTGTTGAGATCATTTGGGTTTATTTGAGATTTTTGTTTGCATTCAACCATTTTGTAATTTACTCCTTGGTTGTTGCATCTCTGGCCTTCAGCTTTTCATAAACACACCTTCAAGGCCTGTGGTGACCTCTCCCTCACCCCCAGCAAGTGGGGGTCTGGATGGGGAGCAGAGGCACCTTGGCCCTTCATTGCCCGTCACCTGTGCCCACAGCATATTCCAGTCATAGCCGCATATATTACAAACTCATTTTGGTTGCTTGTTTTGTTTTGTGGATGCGCCTAAGCACCATTGACTGCCTGCTGTTCTGTTTCTCCCTATGCAAAAAAAAGAAAAAGAAAAAGAAAAAAGTAAAGAAAAAGTGAAGGGGGGTCCATAAAAGATTCAATAAAAGGCAAAAAAAAAAATAAAAGAAAGGAAAATGTATAAAAATTAAACAAGCTTAAGCTTCAACTCTTCCAGACTGTCTTGGGTCTTCTTTTCTGTGTGTCCATAAAGAGCTCGGGTTGAATCAGGAAGGAGGAGGCTGTTCCAGGCCTCCTAAGTCTACACAAAGGAACCAAGAGCATTAGGAGTCTTTATTAAGTGAAAGTGCTGAAAGGCTCCCCCTGGTGGCCTTTGCTGGAAGTGTCCCCCCAAAACAGCCTCCCCTGGTCACACAAAGCAAAAACCAGGTGACCATGGGGGCAGAGTCTAGAGACTGTGGCTGAAAAATAACGGTCACAGGGTGTCTCCTCTACACACAAATTCCACTGGAGGGCTCAGGGACTCAGGGCCATTGGGAAAGAGGAGACGCTCAGACGGGTGATGCCAGGGAGCTAGGTGGATGTGCCGGAGGGTGGGGGAAGGGAATGGAGAGCAGGGGCTGGGAGAGGGCACGGGCTGATTTATGGATGAGGGAGGGGTGGACGGTAGCTGTACACACGGTGTGCAGAGCGGGCCTCCTCATTTGGGGACAGTTTTGAGATCCAGATGTCAGCCGTCTCGATTTCCATGAAGTCTGCTCCTTGAGTGGTGTGAAAGGAGCACCCCCAGAAGCAAGAGGCCTCACAAGGCTGTCTTCTTGTCTCTCTCATCATCTGAGGAATCCTTCTCCCCCAGGTCCAAGCCCTCGTTGCTGTGACCACCCTTCCTGTCCACCTGCTTTTTCTGCTTCTTCTTCTTCTTCTTCTCTGTTTTACTGTGGGGTTTAGGTACCACAGTGAGAGCATGTCCATGTTCATGGGGTGAAAGGGTCAAGCCCTGAAAGCAGTCTCCAGGGCTGCAATGACCTCACGGTGGCCTAGCAGGAAGGGAACCATGTGTACTCTGAAGAGATATGAAGAAATGAAAGATGGGTGGGTGGATGGGTGGGGGGGTGGGTGGGTGGATAGATGGATGGGCTGATGGGTGGATGGAATTGGGGTTTATGTGTGGGTGCATGGATGGATGGAATGATGGATGGGTGGTTTGTTGGTGGGATGTATGGTTGGGTAATTGTTGAGCGATGCTGTACCGTGGGCACACAACTATATTCTTGGCACTGTTATGGGTTTTCTCCCCTCCCTTCCTCGGAAACCACTCAGGATCACAGGGTTCATTTGTCTGTCACAACTTTTCCCCCCACTGCTTCCCCTCTCCTGGACCAGAACTACCATTATGGATCCCTGGACCAGGGCCGAGTTGCTTGGCACTATCCCCACCCCAGCTGGGCCTCCCAATACTATCTGACAGGGTGTGGTCACCCACGGGTACCTTGGCTCTACGTTCACATTGGCCTCCATTCTGAATGTGACCTCTTCATCATCAGGTCTGCAGTGGCGAAAAGACAGGGTTATGTGAGCTGTAGTTCCTCGCCTCTGGGTCCTCTCCTTAAGTCATGAACCCCATGAACCAGCAGGGATTGGCAGGGGCGGGAAACAAGGCACCCTGAAGGCTGACCCTAGGATGGGACCAAGAAGGTTTAGAGCCTGCGGGGGACCCTGGGTGGGTAAGGTCAGGTCCTCACCTGGGTTTGGAACACCACACTCGGTTGGCCAGCATGAGGACGAAGACTATGAACAGGAAGCCCACTACAGCGGCCAGGCCCACCAGCCAGGGCTTCAGGCGGCGCTCGGAGGCTGTGGAGGGCGGAGGGGTCAGCAAGACAAAGGAGGGGCCTGGGGAAGAGAGGGGCCTGCGGGAAGAGGCGGGGCCTGCGGGGAGAGGAGGGGCCTGTGGGAGAGGCGGGGCCTTAATGAAAGGAGAGGTTCCTTCCCAGAGGGTGGGGGTTTAGAAAAGTCACAAGGAGGCGGTACTCAGGAAGAATGGGCTCTAAGACATCTCAGGGGTCTGGGGGCAGGGCTTGTGAGGAAGGCGGGGCTATGCAGGGAGAAGAGGGGCTTGGAGGGTGGGGCTCTCGGAGGACGACTAGGGGGTTCTCAGAGGCGACCTGAAGGGGCTCAGAGGGGAAGCTTGGTGTTGAGCACTCAGAGAGGAGAGAAGGGTGCTGAGGAGGATCGCAGGCCCTGGGGAGCACTCATTCCCCACTGGGGCCCTTCACTTTTTCTCTTCTTCCTGCGCCCTCTCAATGCCTCAGTTTTCCTAATGGGAAATGAGGCAGTGGAGAGCCCCAGCCCCAGCGCTATTGCCGACCCCCACCCGAGGGCTCGCCACCCCAATCCTACCCTGCTGGGCCTCTGCAGGTGCCAGGAGCAGTGCAGCCAGGAGGAGCAGCCTGCCCAGGGTGTCCATGGTCAGCGTGCTGGAGACAGGTCGGCGTCCAGTTGCTGGTGTGAGCGGCCTGAGGCCCGGGGTGGGGTTAAGACAGGGCGGGCACAGGGTGATGTGGGGGCGGGGGTGGGGAACCTGCCACCTGTGGCCTATCCTCCTGTGCTTACCTGGCTGGGCATCAGGCCTCGTCCGTCCTGGAGGGCAGAGTCTGCAGCTGGTTTAATATTAACCTGGACTATCTCTTCCCCAGCACCTTGTATCCTGCCCTGGAGACCAGCAGCCCTGGGCCAGCCACTGGTGACAGGTTCCCCAGTATCCCTGAAAGAGGTCAGGCTGCACAGATCCGACATCATGCCCTTACGAGTGCACACAACCAGGTGTCACAGTCAGGCTCAGTGGCTGGTACAAGCTTTGCAGCTCCAGGCCTGGCAAATCAGTGCAGCAGGGTTGGTAGTTTGGCCAGCACCAGGCTTTTAGGGCGGGGGTGGGTGTGGGTGGGGGCTCAGGGTCATGGCAGAGCCACCTGCCTGCTGAGCTTACAGGAATCGGAATCTGGATGACGATACACTCATGCCCCTGCCCTCAACCTTGGGCCTCAAACTGATTAGATAGTGAGCCCCACCTGGGCAAAGGGGGATTCCACCCAGGGCCTCACGGGACCAGCCACTGCCTGGGCACGTGAAAGAGACTGTAAAGAAACAGGGCTTTGTTGTCATATGCCTGTCATCCCCACACACAGGAAGCCTGAAACAGGAGGATGGCTAGCTCCAGGCCTAGACTGGGCTCCAGATCAAAAAGTTGTGCTAGGGCTGCAGCTCAGAGGACGAGTGAGGTGTTCTCCCAGAATGCACGAGTCTCGGGTTCCTTTCCCAAGAAGCCAGGTGGGGTGGCATAGGTCTGCCATCTCAGGTGAAGGCAGGAGAAGCAGGACTTCAAGGGTTATCCTCAAAACATAACAAGTTCAAGACCAGACACATATTGTCTGGACATTTTTTGTTTTGCTTTGTTTGTGACAGGGTTTCTCTGTGCCCTGGCTGTCCTGGAACTTACTCTGTACTGTAAACCAGACTGGTCTGGAAAGTCATAGAGATTCACCTGCCTCTGCCTTCTGAGTGCTGGGATTAAAGACAGTACCATGCGTGGCTTGAAAATAATAGTAAACTAAAAGATTTAAAACTGTTGTGAGAACGCTTATAGATGTCCCTCTGTATATGCAGTGACAGAGAAAATCTAAGATCCTTCAGATGAACACTGGGCACAGCCAGCAAGGGCCTGTTTCAACCAGCTAGGCAGGCAGACATAAAACCCCTACTCTATACCCATCATGTGTTGAGAGCTCTCAGTCCAAGTGGGACAGTAGGAGCCCAGACAGACAGGCCTGAAAGGTGAGGTGGAGGAGGCTGGGTGGAGTTCAAGGCCAGCCTGGGCTACAGAGCAAGTTTCAGGACAGCCAGGGCTGCACAGAGAAATTCTGTCTTGAAACAAAACCAATTATTTATTATGTCCTGTTCTGTCTGCACGTATGCCAGCAGGCCAGAAGAGGGCACCATATTTCATTATAGATGGTTGTGAGCCGCTGTATGGTTGCTTGGAATTGAACTCAGGACCTCTGGAAGAGCAGTCAGTGCTCTTAATCTCTGAGCCATCTCTCCAGCTCAGGACACATTTTAAATTTGTATCTACATTTGGCCTCATTTTCTCCTCTCTGCAGAGACTCTGCCATGCATTATTCATGATGAAGAAAAAAATATCAGGACCTGGGGCTGGCCCAGCGAGCAAAGCTGGCCTGGCCTGCACCAGACCCTGGGATCCATCCCCCGGCACCACAGAAGCCATGAGGGGTGGTCAGTCATCCCAGAGACAGGAGGACCAGGGGTTATTCAAGGCTAGCTGGGCTAAAGGAGACCCTGGGATCTCAAAGTGTCTTAAGGTGGGGGTGGTGTCTGCAATCTCAGCACTAAAGCTGAGGCAGCGGTATTTTGAGTTTCAAGCCAGCCATGTTACATGTTACACACATGTTTAAACACACAGGTATTGGAAACGACCCATAGTCTGTAAGTTTAAGATATCTTTATTCAGATAAACACCAGCCAAACAAACGCAAGCCAGAGCGTGCCAGGGACCGCAAGGCAGGCAGCTCTCATGTGCCTTAAAAACCTATTGCGAGTCATCCTGACCTCACCTTGACCACGCCCTGACAGGCGTGGTCAGG